GTATTTCATTTCAGGGTAAAATAGATAAAATGTTATGTAGTGTGTGCATCATATTCATATTTTTCTCAGCTTTAATATTCATTTAAATTTATATTGCCTTCTATTTTACACTGTTTATGCTCATTTCATTTACTGTTTGTCATTTCTCATCCTCCAAATTAGATCTGTAACTTGTTTCTGATATCTTATACCTATTTAACATCAGCTCTTATTTTAATCTTTTGTAACTTGTTCCAATCAATAGTAACTATTTATTTTTAACCCTGGAAGGCCTACAACATAGGTCGAGACGTAGACTATTAATAAATAGTACACTAAAGTGTATGTGTGATTGATGATGAAAGCAATCAGTTGTTGTTTTCAACATAAATTTTAGGACTAGATACTTTTATTTTGTCATTTACAAATACAGATAAATTCCTATTCCTACTGGGTGAAAACAGTTTATAACCGATTTATCGGAAAAAATATTAGAAAAATCAGAATTTTTTCAAATTAATTTGTTTAATAAATAAACTGTGTGTTTAGGCAATTGAGTTTATTAAAATACATTCCAGATCATGGGAAAACAAGAAATAAAAGCTCTGCAACAATTAATTGTAGCCATTTTTGATGAAAACAGGAGTACTTTTACTTGAAAGGATAAAAAATATCATCATCAGAGCTGAACCTCAAATTATTCCCTAATAAATCTTAATTTAATTAATATGATTTTGAAGCTTATTAATTAAATTAAACTCAGAAGTTTTTGTAAAAGTCTAAAAACTGAGATACAGTTGGATGATGTGAAAAAAATGGGGAATAATTTATGATTATTCTAAAAATAGAACTCAGTTGCTCAGAAGACCTCTGTTAATGATTTTAACAATGATATACTATCTGTTCATTTAAAGTAAATTTCATCTTGTTTATAATGAAGCAATTATTAATTAGTTAAATTAAATATTTCTTTAGTTATTGTTTTCAAATCAACATGACACTTAAAAAAACACAAAACTTGGATTTGCTACTTTTCTGCTAAAAATTTGCCCATTGTTTATATGAACTTTTTTGTAGCTCATGAAGTCTGCTATCACTCCGATTAAAATTCCCCTCTTCTTACGGGACTCCCTATATATATATATATATATATATATATATATATAGAGAGAGAGAGAGAGAGAGATTTAAAATATTGAAATATTCAACCATTATGAATTGTAGGCCTATTGGCTATTAAACTGTTATTTGCCATTGTAAACTTTATTAAAATGACATTAGGAGATTTTGCATTGCCTGTCATAGATAGGTCAAAAGTTATCACACTAATTTTAAGTAAATAATTTTGGGATTTCACAAAGCGAAATTCTTCACCATTTTCATTTTTTAAAGGTTATATGACGATTATTCTGAATAAACAGACGTTGATACCTAATTATTTAAATATATTGATCTAGAATTAATAAACTACAGTAAATGTATTTAAGGTTTTAAACGTATGTTTTATAAATCCATGAAATATTGTGACATTTCACTTCTTCTTTCAAGTACAATGAAATAGTTTTTTAAATAATGTCATTGGCTTGATTGGGTGGATTTTAAATACTTTTTTCAAACTTAAAAGTTTAGTAGGTAAATTTCATTTAATTTCCTTGGAAACATCTAACTTCCGTTAAATAATATTAGTTTTCACCAATTATTTATAATTTTTCGACACTTCCATTACTTTCTCTCTAGATTAGATGTTGGTTTTTCTAAAATTCTTCGCTTTCCAACAATATATTATACATATACCTTCTGACTAGTATTTCCGGGTATTCATTTTCGACCTAAATAAACATTTTCTCTATTTTCAATTATGTAGCACATTATATTCCCTCACACATTATATTTAGCCATTTTTTATAGTTACTGTCAATTAGAGAGTCATTTTTTTTTTAAATAAACCAAATTAAAGGTACTTTAGAAGGAAGACGCATATGAACATTGGGTATATTGTAAAGCGACATCAGTGAGGATAAGACCTAGTTGATATTAAAACAACTTAATAATACACACAATCGAGAAAATCGTAAAAAAAAAATGTTGAATCGATTATATAAAGTGCCACTTCCGGTTTGTCGATTTTGACGAAAAAGTTTTTGTGACATCAAAGGCATATACCTATCTTAAATACGTAATATCAGTTTCGTACGACTTTTCGTTTTTGAGCTAGACTGTTCACATACACATACACTCATACACGTAGATGATAGCAAAACTAAACCTTTCTGTATATTACATATATACAGGGGTGCCCAGAAGGTGGTTTCATGGTGCAGGTTGCGCCATCAAAATTTTTGAGGGGGACACATTTTGATGGGGTTTTGAATTTTTGAGGGGGCAGATTTTGATGGAGTAATGAATTTTCGAAATGAAAATTTTTAAATCAAAAGACAAGTGGAAGCATAGGACAGACTGTAGGATGTGTAATTGTATATAGCCTACGAAGTTTTAAATTCTACTTTTGTTTGCACTGTTTTTAAGAAGAGGAGAGCAATAAAATATCTTGGGAAGGGTGGTGGAAGGTTTATGCCCCCTTGGGAGATGGGCACCCCTGCATATTTAGGTAAGTGAAAGTAATAATAATCCATTCAGCATGTGGCAAACAGTGAGATATTGTTATAGTTATAGATGCAAGATATTGCCTGGGAGAGATTAATCGAGTCATTGTAATGTACCACGGGGAGTGTAACTATTGGGTAATGATAAGATATATCATCGCTCTATCCCATAAAAACATACGAATGAATAGGAAGCAAGAATATAATAGTTTATTGCAATGAACAAATAACTGCAGACCATTACAGTATGGATCATTGGGATTTTGATGTGGAACAGATATAGATGTGAATAGTGAGCAATCTACTTTTTCTAAAATCCAACGAGGATTGCTGTAATTATTGCAGATTGCACTTCTGAATTTTAGACGAATTGGGAAATAATGGCCACTTTCATAAGATTCTGGTAGAACTGTCCATTTTGTAGCATCAATCAGTGTGTTAGTGCATATAGAGAGATCTATGGATGAAAATGTACCAGAGCTAGAACTTATGTATGTTGCTTCGTCGGAATTTAGTAACAAACTATAGGTTAAATCTAAGAAAGTTTCTATTATGGGACCTCTAGAATTTGTGTCTTGTGAACCCCATAATGGATTGTGGCCGTTGAAATCTCCAATGTACAAAACTGGCTTTGTCAACTGCCTATGAATATGGAAAAGGTATTTTGTCTCTATAGTATTGCCTTAAGGGAGAAAAATGTTGCAAATTGTGAAAGTTATGTTTGAATGAACTGTAACAGCTATTACTTGAAGTGAACAGGTCATGGTTATAATTTCCATAATCATCTCTCCTACTACAGTAGTTTGATTGAGTAGTTAATAGCAATGAATTAATTGTTATCATTATTTTTTCAATTCCCATAAAAAATTCATTTTTAATAATAATATAAATATATAATTCTTTTTTACTGTTGCCATATTTTAAATAAAGAATTATATCATTATTTTTTACTAATCAGTTTGTTATTAATTTATTTATTTTTTGTTTAAAGATCAGATAGAATTATTGTTTGTAAATGTTATGAAATTTTGTTCATCAAAGGGTATTTGTTGATTTCGTGGAATAGAACCCCTATACAGAATAAAAAATATATTAAGATCAGTTATAAATCCCTCTTAATTTCTACTAAGTTCATTACTGAAGTTTTAAAAAAATATTTTTCAATATGAGGTAACATATTTAAAAATAGGTATTTAATACAACAGATATTTTACATTTATACTAATTAAGATATTCTGAAAATTATTAGTATTTGACAAAATATGCTGTACAAAATAATAATAATTTAATTTCTCTTGATCTTGTGTCCTTTTAACACAAAGTTTTTAATTTAATACATTCTATTTAATGAATCCTGTTGTATTTCAGCCCATGCATTATCTAATTGGTTTTAGGAAGTAAGCTATGGGGATTTTTTTTTTTTTTCCTATCCCTCTGAAACAAAAGAAAACATGATTTCAGTACCTGAATTACCTTAGCCTTTTTTTACCTGGGTATTTGAAGGTGCCTTGTAATGATTTTGAAAAAATGATCTCTTCCTGCTCACTTAAGGTCTTGTTAGGGTGTTAAGCTATGGGGAGAAATATTACAATCTGTCTAAGTTAAGGACACTTATATTAGAGTTCAGAGAACACATTCACACTGTATTTACAGAAACACAAATGAATAAAGTAATAACAAAAGAATATATAAAAATAAGAAAATAAAATATTAGAAAGAGAGTGAAAAGACAAATATATACATATACATAAGTAAGTAAAAATAAAAATAATAGTATATTCAAAAATGTTTAACTTGACACTAAGGGCATCTGGTTTATTATTCGATAATTATATTCAACATTCATTTATGGCTATAACTATACATTCTCCAAAAGATAATTTCAAATGTCTTTAAATAGCTATTGAACCTTTAGTTCTTTGGGTTTGCTTAAAAAAAAAAAAATTAAACATGTATATATTATTTTAATAGACTATTGTATTGTAATTAGCTAATTAGCTAACTTTCAAAATTTTATTGAATATGATCTAAGGATATGGTAGGTTTAGAATGTATATAACTTTTAAAATTCTGCATAATATATTATATTATAAAATATAGTATATTATGTGGAATTTATGTTGATCAAACATGTTTAAGAGGAATCAATTTAAGGCATTAGAGTATTCATATAATTTTTTCTATCTGTAATTTATTATAATATTTTTTATAACAATTTATAACAATAAAATTTTTATACAATCAAATCACTCATATTTTTATATGAATTTAAATTTATAAAATTTAAGTCACAAGTATAATGGTAAATATAACAGTAAATGTTAGTTTGATTCAGATTAATTTTTTTATTATTCCCATAACAAGTAATTGTTATCAATAAACGTTTTCAGTAAATAAAACCTAACCTATGTTAGAATCCACATTTTAGTGATAAGAGAATCATGCTTGTCATGTGAATTCATTATATTCCTGACCATTGCAGAGGAAACATCTTTGTCAACTCTTTCATCTTTAGTTTTGTAGGGTATAGTTGTTTTTGTTTTTTAACATACTAGAACATGTATATAAGACATAAATGACTTTTTATAATTTCATTTCCATGGTTTGATTGTGTTCAGAATTTTTATTTTGCTAATATTTGAAAACTTAGTAGATGTTCTTAATTAATTAAATGAGAACATTTTTTAGATAGTTAGTTTATTTAATTATTATGTTTTTAATCAAAGATACTGTTAAATTCAAGGGAAGGCTTTTTAATTATAGCCCCCCCTCCTAAAAAATTTTAAATATGTCCAGAAAAATTATATATGTTGATTATATCTTTGAAATAATGTTTGTAATATTAGTAAAAAAAAATATATTTTGGTTTATTTGTATAATGTTGCTTACATGATTAATAATTATTTAATGATATTAAGAACTTTATTGAATTAAATAGTAATATTTTATTTTTGACAAATAAATTAAATGTACTTTAATTTGTCACCGGTGTCATTGTAAAAAATTCCAGATGCATTAGAAAGAAATATTATTTATAAGGTTTTTTTTAGGTTGATTATAATTAACTATCAATTATTGAGTGTATATAAAAGCTAAATTAATAATTTTTAGTTCATTATACAGTTTTTAATATCATTAATTGAACTTTTATTCCATTTAAGTATTACATTATTGAAATTAAAAAAACATAAATAAAATAAAATTAATAATATGAATTAATTTTAAGTATAAAGAATGGCAGTGAATTAAAGATTAATTTAATTGCTTAGATACAGACTTGGATATAAAAACAATTCTATCCTTTATAGCTATTTGTAAACATCCCATTTTCACCGGCCTCATTTTCTTTGTTTGATTTTTTATCATTAACAGTTAGTGATTATGACCAATCCATATCCTAATTTTTAAAACAGTTTATTTATGATAAATGTTCCATAATGTTTTCTCTTATTTTTTAAATATACTTCAAGATAATCTTAATTTTAAAACAAGAAATCAGCTGTTTTATACAGACCTTCATTCTCTCAAGGACTTCTTAGCTAAATTTCTGTGCCAGTCTTGCCTATTTCTCCTTTCAACTATGATCAAAAAAAAAGAATATATATATATATATATATATATATATATATATATGTATTAATTCATTTTATATTTTGAAAAACTTTGGTATGTAGTTATTTTATTCAGCATTTTTCGGAATCATGATTCTGACTGATCAGTTTTGACAATGAAATAAATTTAGAAAACTTTCAGTGATGTGACATTGTATATTTAGGTATTCAACAAGATGACAACTTATAAATTAACTTATTTCAACATTATGGGCCTTGGTGAAACCATTAGGTACATGCTCTCTTACCTTGGAAAGGATTTTGAAGACTTCAGAATAAATGACTATCCAAGCTGGGTAAATGAATTTAAGCAAAGTGAGTTAATATTAAAACAATCACTCTATTACATACTTAAATTAAAAATTTAACATCATTATTAATATACAAGATAAAAAGGTATGAATGAAAAACAATAATTTATTTATTTTATTTTAATCACATCAAGCATTTTATTGTTCAATATTGATGACCATATTATAACTGAAAATACTTCCTTGTTTTTTACTTCTATAAATCAATAGAATAAAAAAACAACAAAAATAAACACTTATGGTATCCACCATTGAAAATTTAAATAAATTTAAAAAATTTAAGAAAGTGAATTAATTTGTTGAACTAAATAATTTAGGACTTAGGTGATAGGCATTGCAAATCTAGAGATAACAATATGGTTGCAAAATCATTATTTAATTTTATTCGTTTTAATGAGTTATCATAAAAACTGAAAAAAAGAGAAAAACAATCCATATGAGAACTAGAACAAATTATAATTACAGAAGTATATTATTTTATTGAGTAACATAAGTAACTATTTTAAATTAACTTTAATAATACAATAATTGATTATTTTTTTAAGATCTTTTGAGTTTTAAGAATCTTTGTTAATGGTTGCCGGTCATTGAATAATTAATGAATAACCTTTGCTATAATTTTTCTTTATTTTTTTCTCATATGTGGAAGAAATGGACTGCATTAATCTATTCAATAATATGCATTATTATGAAGATATGTGACATACTTGTTAGTGACTTATATAATATTTTACAGTGGCCTGGGAATATGTGTTCCTTTGGCTCCTGGTTTCTCTCCAGAGCTTTGTATCTTACTAATAATTACTATAAAAATAATTATTAGTAAATATATACTTCAAAATGAATTCTCATTTAATCAATACAGTTCATTTTTTCAGAAATGCCATTCGAAAAAGTACCATTGTTAGAATTTGATGGACACAGACTACACCAATCCATGGCAATATGCAGGTAATATTGTAATTATATATCTCTTTAAGTCGCTATTATAAAATCAAACATTCCCTGTTAATTTTATATTTAAATTCCTTGATGGTGGCAACATTGTGAAATACGCTTAGAAAGAGTAGAGAGCACCAAAAGTCTTGTGCTACTATAAGAGATCTTACACGATTGAGTACACGGAAACAATAAATTTCACTGAGAATGCACTGTGGTAATGGTAAGGGAATGTGCTACTCTACATCCGATATTCGCTAAATAGCTGTCCTCCTAGCTCTGGAGCCAGAGCCTAAAAATCGACCTCATTGTAGGCGAAGGTTTGAATGTAAATTACAAAAATGTAAAAAAAAATGAGCCTAATCTGCCATTGCAGAGCCGCTGCTTTCAAAAATGGCGGCTGATTTAAAGAATATTAGACCAGTAACTTGAGGATCAAAACGAAAAATTCATTGCAAAAAAGGGGAAAAAGTTTTAATTTTTTTAGCTTTTATATATTTGTTTAGACTTTTCCAACTCATTTCCAAGCTACAGAGCTAGAAGCATTAGAGTAATTTTTCTCAGTATTTTCAGAAAAAATCAGCGTTGATTGGCGTTGGTTTTCTACTATATCACTTAGCTAAATTATTAAATTTAGGTTCTCGTTCGACGCAAAATTTAATTCTTTAATTTCTTAAGGAATACCTTTTTCGCTTCGATGCATCGTTTTGAAGTTATAAATGAAAAGCAAAAAAAAAAAAGATCGAAAAAAGTTGCCTTTTTTGTCTGTAAATAGTTTCCCCATTGTGGTCCGTGCTAGCGATTTCGTTTTTTGCATTTCTAAATCCAAATATACAATTTAAAAAATAAAAACTTTTCCTACATTTTTCGCAATGAATTTCTCGTTTCGATCAAGTTACTGTTCTAATATTCTTTAACTCAGCCGCCATTTTTGAAAGCAGCGGCTCATTTTACTTAGAATAACATACACGATTGCAATTTATATTCAAAGCTTCGCCTCCGATGAGGTTGATTTTTGGCCCCGGCTCCTAGGCTATCCCTAGGGCTTCCTCACTGCTCTACTCTTCACTCTATTCCTGTTCCTTGCCTTCCACACTTCCCTTTCAGTAATCGGTCATTATGATCAGCTTCAATATTTGTCTTTCTGTACGCACTGTTATTCTTAAGAGACTTTGTTTTTTTATATAACTTAAAACTCAGATAAAGTTACTTTTTCTAATCTAATTACAAAAGACTCATTGAACATGGCTATAATAATGTCTATTGGAATTTAAGAAGTCGAGCATTGGGCTCCACTAAACCATCGAATTCTTCTCGTATCCAATACAATCCAAAATTTTACGTAAAATTCTCAATGCTCCTTATTTTTCCACAAATATAAATGATCCATAATGACCTTAATATTATATATGTTGTAGATTTTTAACATAATCCACATATCCAAGTATGCTCATTTCATTATATCAGTTCACATGCATCTTTTGTTGATAAAGTAGTATATTTCAATAAATAAATGTTTAGAAAGTATTTTTATTCGCTATATTAAAGAAAAAAAAAACTCTTTTCCATGCTCCACTGGCCTACGCACACAATATCCTCACCTTACTGCCCAAGAAACTTCCGTCTTTGTGGTTGTTAAAGCACACAATCGCTATCCACATGCCGATCCATTCGCCAATCCTTCCTTGGATAATGCTTTTGAATTTCAGACGTAAGAAATGGGTTCTGCCATCTGCAGCGTAGTTTTAACCAGTGTTCTGCGTTCAAACCTTTCAACCTTTTATTCAGTCTCTTTGCCAGAAGTGTTTAATATATAGGAGAAGAGATGGTCCAGGGTGACGCAAAATGGAACGAAACGCTAAAATAGGGAACAAAATTGGAATTTTCAAGCATTTTATTATCTCGAAAAGTTTGATATCTTCTTGAAGGCAGATGCTGGTGGCATCGAATGTATAATGAATGGTTATTTAAAAAATGTTTCTCATCATGAAATTTAATTGCAAAGTTTATGTAATTGGGAAAGTAAATTTGAATGAAATGTGATAACGATTTATATTGGATCATAGCTGTAAACAAATGATCAATGAAATAGAAGTGCAGAATACTTATAGTGTTGTTTGTAATTTTTTTTTTTTTATTCGGGATGCTCTGTAACGGAAACACTTGTTGGATCGCCAAAAATCGAAAATTCGACCCTTCAATATTTTTCTTATTAAGTAGTAATAGGAAAGTAAAACAAAAATTTGGTTATGAAACATTATGTATCCGACTAATTCATAAATGCACATGTACTGATAACAATGCCGATATTGATAAAATGATTAAAACGGACGAAGACCACTATTCAATGCACCAGTTATCTCCGAGAGAATGAAACAAAAACATAGATACTCTCCGTTCAATACTTATAAAATTAATCTATAAAAGATACGGTAGATTAATGGTTCTTATCTTCTTACCTAAAATGTTGGCTAAAATTATTTTTATCCTTTTTTTTTCTTTCAAATGTTTCTTTGAGATATATGTCGTACATATGATATATGAGACATCGGATATACTCTTTTACACTTACGGATATACACAATTACTCTTCAGAGTATTAGAATTGGCTTGGAAAGATAAGAAGATTCCGAAAGATTGGGAAATCTCAATCATTGTCCTAATCTTCAAGAAAGGTGATACTCGAGAATGTGCCAATCATAGAGATATTTCATTACTCAGTGTCCCAGGTAAAATATACTCACGTATATTAGAAAGAAGATTGAGGAACGAGGTAGAACACCAACTGGACGATGAGCAGAGTGGCTTCCGACCAGACACGAGTACTCTTGTGTGCGTGGGGTGGCCGAATAGGCTAACGAATGTGCACTGCATCGCCGTTTCCTGGCAACGTGACATATGAGACAACTATGAAAAATAGTTCCGAGTTCGCATCCTGGTGCCGGGGGAGTCTTTTAAATCCCCGCCCACACCCCCTGGCCCGGGAGAACCCCGTATACCCTTAAAGGCGAGGAAGGGGAGAACGCAAAAAAAAAAAAGAAAAAAAAAAGCAGGAGTACTCAAGATCACATATTTGCCAAATATGTGAGAAATTCATTGAGTAAGATAAAGAGGTTTAGCTGTGCTTTATAGACTTAGAAATGGCATTCGACAGGATATCTTAGTATGAGTTATGGGCTTCACTCCGGAACAAGCAATTGTCCGAGGCTCTTATACAGAGAATTGAATCATTCTATAAGATCTGGAGGAACTATGTTAGAACGACCCATCAAACATCTGCCGAATTTGTCACTACAATGGGTGTCAGGCAGGGAGACATAGGGAGCCCTCTATATTTTATTACCCTCATGGATGATTTTATTGAAGAATGTAAGAGGAAAAGAAGGGAGACACCGCTATTGGATATTGGAAATTGCAACCTGCCAACTGTTTATCGTTTGTATTTGCTGAGGACATTATGCTAATAGCTGACAATAAAGAAAAGTTACTGGAAAATTTAGATGTCTGGACAGAAGAGTTAGCAAAAAGAAATATGGTCAATAGCACTTCGAGATCAAATGTATGCTGGTGTCCAGAAACAAGAAGAATTCCGGGATTCGCATTTATGAGGAGATGATGCAGCAGGTTCCTACGTTCAAGTATTTGGGTGTGACAATCATTGAGAGCGGGAAGATCAGAGTCGAAATTAATACGATAGTTGACACTTCAGGAATGGACAAGGATGTTCTCTGTCATCAATAGGAAGTTATTAAGTAATAGAATAGTGGCAAAAGAAACAGAACTAGCAGCCTATCGCTCGACGTTCGTCCCTATCCTCACTTATGGAAGCGAATCCTGGAACCTGAAGCAACGTGATCGCAGACGCCTCCAAAGCATGGAAACGAGGTATCTTAGGAAAATAGAGGGAAAGACAAAGAGAGACCGGATACTTAACACAACGATACGGACTACACTAAAAATTGAACCCCTCAACCAGATAATAGAGAAAAGGCAGCTTCGATGATTTGGTCATGTAATGAGGATGGATGACCGCTGTTCAGCAAAGAAAATTATGGAGGCTAAACCAGTGGTAAAATGACCTAGAGGAAGACCAAAAATTATTTGGGAAGATAATCTTTATCTTCAATTGCTTTTATTGATGGAAGTGTTATCATTTATACTAATAGCTATTGATGTAGTGAGTTTTTCTATGGATTTGTCAATGTCTTGTTTTGTCTTAAGCGGAATTTTTAAGTCCAGTTTATTTTCCAAATCGTAACGAAACTTGTCCCAGTCTACTCGTCCTGTAATCAATTTCGGATGTAAGGGTTTAGGAACGAGATTTGAATGTAATAATAGCAGAACTGGACTATGATCTGATGAAAGGTCATCCAGGGATTTTATTGTGGTCAGGGAAGAGGAAATCTGAGAAGTGATAAATATATCTAGGATATCAGGACGTTTTTTAAGGGATGTTGGCCAATATGTTGGATTCATGGGCGAGAGGATAGAACAACTATTAGAAGATGAGACATTGAGATAGGATATTACCACGGGAATTGGATGTTCGACAACCCCATCATTGGTGTTTAGCATTGTAGTCTCCTCCAGCAATAAAGCGTAATATGAGTGATTGGAATAAGGAATCAAGAAGGCCATGAGAAAGGGAATTTCCAGGAGGACAGTATACAGCTGATAATGTAAGATGGAAAGGGCGAGTTGATAGGATTACCGAGGTTGATTGAATGGCGTCAGTTGGGGTAGAAGGGATTAGGGAATGAGATAAGGATTTATGGATAAGGATGCAAGAGCCTGTGTGGGAAGTGTTATCTGGATGGTCTGATCTGTAAGTGATGTAGTCAGTTATGTAAAAGTTTGATCGTTGTGTGAAATGAGTTTCCGTCAGGAGGGCAATGTCAATGTAATTGTCATGAAGAAATATGTCTACTTCGTCACGGTGGTTTTGTTGTCCATTAGCGTTCCATAAGAGATTAGCTAGGGGCTTTTTGTTCATCGAGGAAAATTGAACGGCATTTCGGAAAGGAATCTGGTTAGAAGGGTTATGAGTGGTTTGATAGTCTGTTGAAGGTCTATCAGGAATTTTGATAGGATAGAATTAATGTCGGATGATGTTTTGCTTTGAAGGATCTGTGGATTCGGATTAGGAGGAGGTTTTGGTTGGTAATTTGTGCGATTAGGGTTATTGGTAGGGGGTTGGGTCCGTTGTTGGGTACGAGGAGTTGGTTGAAATGTCTGAGGTACATATGATGGGGGGTTCATCTGGAGATTAGGATGGGATTGTGCTGGATGCGGATGCTCCGGCGGAAGTTTGACCGTTAGGGGAAGATAATGAGGGGAGATTTGTTGACGTGGAGGTTGATGCTGAGGATTAGTGATTTTAAGTTTGGATTTGAAGGTCTGAGGCGCCTGACGTCGAGATTGCTGCTTGATGATAGTGGTTTGGGAGTGTTGCTTGGTGGATTCTTGTTGAGGAAGGTCCGTTGATACAGTGGTCGATGGCCGTTGTTGGACGTTGTCGTTATTGAATACACAACGTGCATCGTCCAGGATATGTAAATGACTTTTTCTTTCTTTGAATCATGCGATTGGACATTTGAATGCCATATCTTCATTATTTACTTTCATTATTCAGTACTCATTTATTATATATTTTATTTACATATAAATTTTTAAATCAATTTAATTAGAATTAGAAGTATTCAGGATTCTTCACCATTATTTCCTTTCGTCGCACTTACAATTGCCTCTTCAGTTTCACTTTCTTTGTCTATATTTGAAGTTTTAAAAGGTCCCCGAGTGCCGTGAGATTGAACTTGATATAAAGATGAGACAAATGGGACATGGCTATCTCTGGCAAACGATCACAAATTTATTATTGCTGAATGTTTATAAATATTCACTTACCTCACAACTGTTTATAAACTCACTGTTTACAAATTCTAACAGTAGAATTAGGAATAATAACCAGATAATAAAGTAGCAAAGACAGAACGATATAAGTATTGATGGACATGACTCATTTTCAAATTAACATAACTAATGTTATATTTCTTGATTGAATCCCTTGATCCATAATTCTGAATCTCTAAACACAATCCAATGTACTAGTGTCTCACATCATCCTCTACCAATGTGAATAATGAGACTTCAGGACCGCCTAGATCTTTATTTTAAATATTAGTGACTTTTGTATAGTTCTGTTGAATTTTGGTCTATTCTGCTTTGTTCTTAGCGGGAAAAGTAATTTAAATAACTGGTGTTAAATCATGAAGATTCCTCAGAGTTGATTTAATGTCCCTGGAACAACCACCTACCAGTAAGGATACTAAGTTTTTCTTCTCTTTTAATTACTTTGTATTATTCTCAAATTTCTGTTTTATTCCTTCTAAGTGTCTTTATAGATTATGTTTTATCTGTTATGAACATATTTTTTTTTTAAGGAATTGAAAACTTTATTTATGGTTGTCAGCTACTGCAACCTCAAATTGGCTCTTGCCTTGTCAGATACTGGGTCATTGCATAAATTCTTTAAACATCATTTCTTCTATTTAATCATTCTATTTCGTTATATATGCTTATCACTGCTCACAATTAACAGTTTAGATTTTATAATTCAATATCTGACAGGAGATGTCGAGTACTGAAACAAGACACGTCAACTGTTGGAACAACATTTGATTTCTTTCTGTCAGTTTATTTTCTATGGCTTAGATATCAAAAATATCTTTTTTTAATATACTAAGGAAGACAGAAAAAACCCTTGACGTTATTCGCAGGAAATGTCAATAGTGGTTAACCCACGTAAAAATTTAATTCCGCGTATAACACTCTTTTATAAAGTCAGAGGAAAATATCCACTTCAGCGTAAAATGTTTTTTCTGTGGCTATCCGCTATTTTTTCTCATGAAGAAGAAAATTTATTAGTTTTGTAAATTAAAGACATGCGAAAAAAAGGTTTTCCTGTTACTAAAATCAGGCTATTGACAATGTCCAATATCTGAAAAATGTGGTTCGGGAAAATCCCTTTAGAAATGACCGCCTTGGTCGGAAAAGGGTCAATTTTTTCCCCAGGGGTTATGTAAAAGGACTCCTGAAAACCTTACTTCATTCCAATCTTCTGCGACTGAAAAATTTGAAGATACCGTATTCAAGTGTCCAGTCGCACCTTACAGAAAAACGTCTTTTACATATCATGCACGTCGTGTGTCCAATGACAATAAAATTGAATTTTTTCTTAATCCTAAGGGAAACAAAGTTTTAGCTGAAAAGGGAAATAAGAATGTTTACTACAGAATAAACGCAGACTAAAAGGAGTGCCTCACTGTTTTATTGTGAGTTAGTGCTTGAGATATATTTTCTCCATTCTATTATCTTCAAATATGAAAGGAATATTTGAATAAGGAAAAAAATATATAGAATGCCGATAACTCACCGCTATTCTACTAGAATAACCAAACTCAAAAAATTATTCAAGCTTAATAGGTTAAGATAGAAGCTTTGCGATACTCGAACTGAGCAACGAAGTAAAACCAAGTGTTTATGAAATCCTTTGTTGGTGAAACGATGGGAAACTCAGAGCTTTTGCTCTGAAACCATTAGATAAATCTCATCCAAAATACCCCCTAATCCCAGATTTACAGACGAAACCATGATTATTAAATATGAAAACTTGATTTCTCCGTTAGTTGTCGGTACAAATTTGAGTATAAGGTATTGATTTCCTGGAAGTTACATACTGAGCGACAAATTTATCTCAGAATCATTTTAAACTCATTATTGTGATAAAATAATTATAAAAGATCGGTAAATCAGTAAATCTGTTTATTTCTAGTTGGTCTAATATCTAATGTGCATTTCCATCCAATTTACTTAATAGATAGCTTTTCTCAAATTAATGTGTAAGTTCCTGACTGCTAAATACTTTTTTTAATTTGATTAAAGAAAGCTAGATCTTAGTTTATGATAAGTTTAAGATTAATTTTGTTTATTATGTGTTATAAAATAAATAAGAATATAATGTTTTAACAAATTATTTTGATTACTTACTTAACGAATTAATTAACAAATTATTTACTTTCTTTCCTTTCGTAATTCGAATTGTTACACTTAAAACTTCAAATTGAAAATTGAAATTGAAAAAATGTCAGGTACTGGTGCATTTACCCTATCCAACCATCAACTGTAATTTCTATATTGGTTAATTAATGTAAAATAACCATTGAAATCGTCAACTTTATACGATTTTAAATACAAAGCAAAATTTTGTATTTCAAAATAAAGTAGATTAGGATAAGAATTAAGAGATATTAGATGCAAGTAGAGTTGTTTTATTTAATAATCAAGTACATTAATTACAATACTACAAAGTGTTGTATAACTAATATATACTTTTATCTTGTATTTCACATATGCGCGTTAATATATATTATTTTTATAATGTGTGAGAAAATTGTTTGCCCACACAGATTAAAATAACCTTGAAAGTAATAAGAAATATGAACATTGAGAATCATTGTCGTTTATGCTAAAAGAGAAATAAAAGAAACAAATTCATTAGTTTTGCATGTATCTAATATAAATAAATTGAAAATCCTATATCTTTAAATCTATATTGAAGCACTTCATCCTGAAGTTTTATCAATAGATTGTTTAATAAAAATGTATTGATTTTTTTAATAGCTCTATTCATATAATCATTATTTTTATTCCTTTTACTATGTTATATTTTACTTCTGAACAGGTACTTCGCAAAAGAGGCTAAGCTGAACGGAGATAATGCTTGGGAGGAACTGCAGATAGACATGATTATGGATTCCTTCGTTGATTTTCGTCACGGTAAATATTTTTGATGTACTATTATTACTTTTCATCCATTCAGGTTGTCAAACAGGTTATGCGCTAAGACAGGGATGCAATCCTACAATTAAATGTTTTATTTTAATGGAGGTACGTTTAGTTTAGTGGTTTTTGTAATTTTTTTTTTCTTTTATGTCAAAGTCGTTGGTCATTTGGCCATCCGACATCTTAGTGCCCAGTATAATTTAGATTTTTTAATATATATATATTTAAAATTGTTTTTTCTCTTATGTTCGTCAAGGACATGTGTATAGTTGGTATGCATTGTTTCTTGATGACACCATTTACAACTAGGATCCTCAGCCACAGCTATCTAGTAGAGATGACACTGAAGATAGTCGTGACCAGTGGCCAGGCGGAAGCAGGCAACTGCATCTCTTCTCGGCAGCTCAGCTGGAATCGGATTATCTTTCAAACACTGATAGCGATTCTCTTCTACTTTGCCCAAGTGTGCTTTTCTAATTTCTTCCTTCACTTCCGTCTTCACCATTCGCCTTATTGAATCGAAAGGTTTTGGATGTATCGGCTGAGGCAATTCTGTTCCTCGCATGGCAAGACTATCAGCCTCAACGTTTCCCGGAATAACACAATGGCTGGGAATCCACTGTAGGACCACATTGGTGCCTCGGAGTTTCAGGATAGAGAGGAGCGATTTGCATTCCAACATAGCACTCGATAGACATTCATTCGTGATTGTAACAGCGAGAATAGCTGCTTGAGAGTCGATGAAGAGAACAGAGCTAATATTCTTTGGGATGGCTGTCAAAGAACTCGTAGACAGCAATTCCAACTTCCGCAAAATTATTAAATTTTTTCCTCTAGCGAAAATGGGCAATGGATCTAAATAAGTAGTAATCCAATGATGCGAGTTTTGGACTATATGATGGTACTATAAAATTTCATATCAGAAGGGTTTTTCAATAAATGTTCACAAATTTCTAATCTCTTAGCTGATTCCTGAGGAGTAAGGTCGTGAGAGACCAGTCTGCTGCTCTTTTTTACCTTCCTCGTGGAGAGTAGATGGCGACTAACATAATCTTTTGACACAACACACTCTCTGGCAAGTTTGCGAGTACTCGTGGACGGATTTGACTCAACAATAGTCGCGCGGAGCCCTTCTTCCTTTGCAACGTCGTATCTCCACTGCTAAATTTTTACAAACCAACATCGCGCAGTGCGCTTGTCATGAACACCTTTTCCTTCATATTTAATAATTTCACGAGTTGCTTCAACGGCTGTGAATTCGTTTTTTCCAGTAATGCCTTAAAACTACGATAATTTTGTAGGACACTCATGTTTCTTCTTCGAAATAAAAAACTATACTGAGAGTTTTTTTTTAAAGAAGTCGTTTGGGATTAAATAAGCTTAGAAAATGCTCTAAAGCGATAATTAAGTGTTGGTAAGCATTAAATAGGAGTAAAATATTTACAATCTTTTGAAATTTTGAATTTGATAAAACGGTCATTTTTTTTATACGCTGTCTTACTTGTCTGAAAAAACAACAGAAAACATGTTGATTTGAGCTACGATAGAATTCAGGTGATTAAGAAGGCATATAAGATTGAGATTTGACTTTCTAAATAATAAGAAATGATTCATATTTATCCAAAACTGTAGTTCATGTTACAGACTGCTTTTTATCAAATTATTAACATCCACCTAAAACTTCGTGAATACCTTCACATCATCACGGCCTACAACTTGTTTATTTACGAAAATTCTCGGAATTGGGGCGTTTCCAATCGATAGATCGGCAAACATTGTCTATTAAATTAGGTACTTAAAACTCATGAACACCCACTGACTTTCCACTTTAATCTTAAGATATAGTGAACAGAAAATCGAGAAAAAAGGTGGCATACAAAAATATTGGGTCGTTTGGCGTGACCTCCACTCCCAATATGTCAAAATAACGGGGTTATATTGACCAAGCGTCCAAATGTTTTTTTAAAGCCACCTTTTTTTTCGATTTTATAATCAAATTTCCTTACGATTCAGCATCGGCGCAGACTTCGAGGGAGATGGGTCTAGGGAGGCGATCGCCCTCCACAATAAAAATAGAGAGCGAGTGAGAATATTTCGCCCCCTCCATAAAATTTTTGGAAGAAAAAAATATCAAATACAATTACAATTAATCTACATGAATAAATAAAATAAAGGAAAAGTGGACTAGATTGCTAATCTAAAACCTGGAAGTGGTAGGCAAGTATTTCACCATGTTCTATTATTGAAATTTAACTTTATATTAAAAGATAACTACATGTAGCAAAATATCCTACGGTTTTATGATTCATTCATTAGCATCCTTCCATTTTAAGGTGAAGATTTTATGACGTTTCCCTGCGGTAAATTCGAAGTATCAGAGAATCGAGGGTTCATCTGACTGCCTCAAACCTTTAAATAAATTTGAATTTATTTTAAATATATAGTATTTTATTGTTCATTTAACAATAATTATGTTGATTATGCTAATTATCTCACTAATAATTTGTATACATAAATAAACTCCTGATACTTTTTTGTTTGGGGAGGAGGGGGAGGGGGGAGAAGGATTCATCCTCTCCTCACACAAAATGAAAAGGCTGCGCCTCTGGATTCAAGTGGAAAGGAAATGAATATTTCTGAGTTTTTAGCACCTCATTAAATTATTTAATTTATTGAGATAGTGCTCCTTCCTGAGAACATTCTTCATATATATATATATATATATATATATATATAAAGGTTTAAAGGTTACGGCAGTAAGATGAAGCCATTCGCGAAGTTTTATAAGGATGCTAAACATTTTGACAGAAAGGGGTCTGTACCACGAATTACTTAAAACTAACAGTGATACAGTGATATCACCATCAAATGGATTTGACTATAGACACGGAACCAAATTTGTTTCTTGGTGTCTAAAATGTAAAACGAGACTAGATATTTTCACAGCTGAGCTCTAAAATGTTTTTTAATCTCCCACACAGATACAAGCTTCTCTACCTTCGGTAATGAGGAAGCATAAAAATAAGGTTTCACATGAGTGCTGTTGAACGTTTAACAGCTCTAAAGAACCTGCCATTTGGATAATCGAACAGATAAAATAGAAAAGTTATTATTAGAATAAAATATATTTTTTTTATTTTATTCGAGGTAGAATCAAATTACAAGTAAAAATAAAAGATTCACGTGTAGCTGAGAGACGTTTTCTCTTTTTTTGGTGTCAGTTTAGGCGAAACAACAACATATACGCAATGGTTTATCTTATCTAATCGAGCTTTTTCAAACTGAATTATGCAATGGACAAACATTGTTGATATATTCAGGAAGAAGAGTTACAGGTTTGTCAAAACAATGACTTTTTTTTTATTATTCATTAAATTTACAACTTTGTACAAATAGATATACATTCAGTTAATGTAATACAGAGAAATACATGGCATTACAAGGCTTGTAGAGAATCTATCCATTGGTAGATAAAGTATCTAAATTAGGAGATCACGAGGCCATGTTCTTTTCAGACACCTTAGGATGGGAGGGAGGGGGAAAGGTTATCAAAGATCGAAGAAGCAAAGCTAGAAACGAGAGGATTAGGAAGGTTCCATTAGCGGATCCAGGATTTAATTTTGAGAGGGGAGAGGCTTCAGTCCGAAAGCTTTTTGTTCATAAAAATAACGATAATTACTTTGGAAGAAAAGAAAGAAACTAACAACCTATATGAAATGGTGTCTAAGTGATTCCTAAAGCCCTTTTAAATGTAATTACACGAACAATAATACTTTAAGAGATAATTTTTTTTTTCTCGATAAAACATGGTTATATTTTACCATTTTTCGAGGGAGATGGCTTCAACCCGAAAGCCCCCTCCCCCGTTAATCCGCCCGTGGAAGGTTCTGAAGTTTATTGTTAAAGGGTAGGTATCTGGATTGGGCAAAATCAGAAGCATATGGAACTTCCAGATCGTTATGGATTATTTTATTTGTTACAAAGTAAGGAACATTAAGGATTTTACGGAGGATTTTAGATTGTAAAGAATGGATGCGGGAGGAATTCGATCGTTTAGTGGAGCTCCAAAGCTCTACTCCGTAAGTATATATAAAAAAAAAAAAAAAACATTTCTAGCTTTTATCACAAACGTATACCTCTTAATCATAATATTTTATTTTCTGGGTCAAGGCATTGTAGCTGTTATGGCGGAAGTAAATTGACTTTTTCCTTCCTGCATGATGCTCTTCATGTTTTATATGTCCGGAGATATTAACTGTCTTAAATCGAAAATTTAAATCAATTTCGGAAAATTGATTTTAGGCTCACTTTTGTGGTTAAATTCGTACGTTTTACTCCTAATTCTAAAAGAAAATTGACTGGCAGGAAGTTTAAAAAAAAATCCATTTTTTATGATTACAGTTATTAATATTCTAATAAATTTAGTGATTAGTTGAGAAAAACTGTACTTGTTTCGTTATTCACATGACCGTTTCTGTAAAAGCTAGTCTGTTGATTTTTACAGACTTATCTGTTGTATATACTTGGTGCTTATGAAATATAAAATTTCAATATGTTTATATGTATTTTTATTTGTACAATACATACATCAAGTATGTTTTATGATACTCTGATTCTATAAAACCACGTTAAAAGTTCTATTTCAGTTTGCTTTGAAGATACAGTTTGTAATAGTCATTAATGTCATATTTATTTATTAATAAAACAAGATTAGGAAAAAATTTACCGTATGTTCCATCAAGATTTTCTTTTTCATAGTACCAAATATTGGTTATTGAAATTTTCTTAGCTTAACTTAATGAGTTTTCTTGTACTGCATAGATGGTATACATTAAAGAAAGATATGAGGGAGTTAAAATTTGTGAAAAAGTTATTTAAGTAGTTTCATAGACATTAGTTGGTTATTACAGGCTGATCTAAAGGTAGAGGGGGATTTTCGGGCTGAAGTCCCCCCTCCCTCCCAAAATGATACAATGTAACCATGCTTTATAGAA